GAGAGAGAGAGAGAGAGAGAGAGAGAGAGAGAGAGAGAGAGAGAGAGAGAAAATGAGCTTTTAGATTTGGGGTGTTTTTCATTATTGTACCAGAATATATCTTAAAATATTACCAGCCGGGCACAGTGGCACACACCTATAATCCCAGCATCTTGAAAGGCTGAGACAGGAGGATTGTGTGTTCAAAACCAGCCTCAGCAAAAGCAAGGCGCTAAGCAACTTAGTGAGACCCTGTCCCTAAATAAAATACAAAATAGGGCTGGGAATGTGGCTCAGTGGCCAAGTGTCCCTGAGTTAATCCCTGGTACCACCCCCCCAAGAAAAAAACTCCAAATAGCATCAAAAACATGAAATACTTAGGAAAAAAATTCAACAGAAGCCTTAAAAGACCTCTACACTAAAATTTATAAAACATTGGTGGGGGAAATTAAAGAAGACTGAAATAAATTGGGGCTATGTTAGTCAGCTTTCTGTCATTATAACAAATCCCTGAGCTTAGCCAACTTATGCAGAGGAAAGGTTTATTTTGCCGCACAGTTTTGGAATTCCAGTCCCAAACCTATGGGTCCCAGTGCTTAAAAGCCTGCAATGATGCAGCATATCATGCAGGGAGGGCATGGTGGAAAGAATCACTCACCTCATGGTTGGGAAGCAAACCAGAGAAAGAGGAAGAGGCTGAGCTCCACTGTCCTCTTCAAGGCATACACCCAAAGACCTAAAGACCTCTCCTGAGGGCTCGCCTCTTCAAGGTGGCAGCCATCACACAGCACCAAACTCGACATGTGGCAGACATTCCACATATAAGTATAGTAGTGACATGTGTCACGGATAGAGAAGTAAATCACAGGTTGTGAGAACTAATATTGTAACGATATCGTTTGTACTGTATCAAAATCCCAATAGGCTTTTTAAAATACAGAATGGCAGATTCACTTTAAAATTTACATGGGATTGCAAAGGACAGAGAAGAGTGAAAACAAACTTGAAAAAGAAGAAAAAAACCCAGAGGATTCATACCTGATTTCAAGGCTGGGCACTGGTAATTAAGACAGTATGGTATTAGTGTAAGGATAAGGAGATAGATCAGTGAGACAGAATAGAGAGTCTGGAAATAAATCCATATGCATGCTGCTCATTGGTTTTCAACAGAGGAGCCAAAGAAATTCAATAGGGGAAGGAAATTCTTTTCAATAGCTGGTACTAGAGCTTAAGAAATTTGTGGAAAAAATGAATCCTGATCTTATTGCTTATCTCACACATAACAATTTGAGATAGATGTGAACTTTAACATAAAAGATGAAACCATCAAGCTTCTAGAAGACAACATAGAGAATATCTTCATGACTTTGGGGCAGGCAAAGAACTTTTAGAGAAGAAACAAAAAAAACATGAGCCACTAAGTCAGGGGTGGTACATACCTGTAATCCCAGAAACTCAGAAGGCTGAGGTAGGAGGATCACAAGTTCGAGACCAGTCTCAGAAACTTAGTGAGACCCTAAGCAACTTAACAAAACCCCGTTTCAAAATTTATATATACATGTGTGTGTGTGTGTGTGTGTGTGTGTGAATGAAATCCAATAAGTAAAAAATAACCCAATTTTTAAATGGGCAAAAGCTGAATTTATTTCATTAAAAAAAGATATAAAATGGCCAATAAGTGTTGAGAGCCACAGTCCAGTCGGAATGGCCCCTGGCATTTTGCTAGAAGTAATGGTTGAGAGGCGAGCCATTAAGATGATGCTGGATTGATTCAATTGTATATAGACCCCTGCTGTCCACCTCGGATGCTCGCTGCCTGGAGTTCTCACTCGGGGATTTCCTGGGGAGTTCAAGTTTGTTGGGGAAGTTCCGGTGAAGGGAGTTCCGGTGTGTGTGTGGTGTTCCTGGGGGCCGCGTGGGTGGCGTTCGGGAGAGTTTCCTGGGAGTGTGCGTGGAGTTCTGTTGGAGGTCAGGCAATAAAGTTTCCTGTTTGAACATACAAGTGCTTTGTGGCAGCTCGCTGATTTGTGCCCAGCCAGACTGTGGCAAATAAGCATATTAAAAGGCATTTGACATTGAGATATTAGGGAAATGCAAACTAAACCCATAATGTTGTGCGGTTTCAACCCCACTAGAATGATTCAAGAGGAAAGGCGTTGATGAGAGCAGGTGCAGGTGAAGTGTGTGAGGCTCTAGGATGCTGGTGTATTGCTGGTGGGGTGCCAAGTCCTAGGACGCTTGGGGAAAATGCCCAGGCAGTGTCTTATAACATTAAACCCTCACCCCATCATCCAACAGGTCCATTCCTGGGTATTTACCCCAAAGAAAGGAAAACATATACCCAGAAAAAGACTTTTACAATAATGTTCAAAGAGCTTTATTCTTAATATCACAAAACTGGAGACAATTCAAACGTCCAAATAGTTGAATGGATACATTGTGGCACATCCATACAATAGGGCAACTTAGAGACAAGAAATAGACTTCTAATGCCTGCAACAGTATAAATGAGTCTCAAAATATCAGGGACAGTCAGGTCATCCGGAAAGATAAGGGAGGAACCATATGGTTGGAATGGTCTGGAAATCTTTACCTCTGGAGACAGAGTCAGAATTCCTTTCTGGTCCTGACTCGGGAGGTTGAAGAAATTCTCTGGGGGTAACTGCTATTCTTTATCTTGACTGGGAGAACCTTCCCACAAAGGTATGTTTGTTAAACCCACTGAATCTTATATTTACAAGACACACAAGTCATTGTATGTTAACTTTTCCTCAATTTAAAAAATTAGGGGCTGGGTTTGTGGCTCGGTGGTAGAGTGCTTGTCTAGCATGCGAGAGGCACTGGGTTCAATCCTCAGCACCATATAAAAATAAATAAATAAAGGTACCGTGTCTATCTACAATTTTCTTTTAAAAAGGCAGTTAGTACCTGTTAAAAAAATATGAAACAATGTTTTAATAGAAGTTAAAAAAGATGTCTGGACCACTATGCTAAACCTAGATGGTATCTGTAACTCTCCTAAGGACTTCCTTATGTAGAATTTTAAAAATTTTATTTACTCTGTTTTATGTTCTACATTTATGTGACTTAAAAAAAATCTAAAAACATTGAAACAGATCCAAAGAAACAGAAAACAAGTAAAAATCCTAAGTTTTATCCTTGGTTCTCATCTTTGCTGTTACCACACCCTATAGACAAGTACTGTTTTCATGTTCATGTAGATTCTTCCTCTGACTCTCTATAAAAAAACAATGCCCTACCTTTTCTCCTGGGATAGTGGAGTCTAAGAGATCATGGCACTTGGCATTTGGTGTCCTTTTGGAAATCGTGTGGCCCGAGAGCTGTGGGCGTGCACTGGGTTGTTGGAGAGATGACAGCTTAGGAATGTTAATGTTAGAACTGGAGTTCTGCAGGAATAGGTCTTTGCCCAAACTAAGGTCATCCTGAATTTTCAAAGCAACATTTCTGGAGGGTTCTCATCGGCTGCCAGGCCTCTGTGGGTGGTCAGGTGGGAAATGCTCTTTTTGGCAAGAGCTCTTGCTATTCCTAGCTGCTGAAGCCATCGTTTCTCCTTAAAGGCACTGCAAGAGAACAAGACATCATTCTCCAGGAGGTTCAGTCTTCAGATCAATGTGCAGCTGTGGCTAGTTTATCTTACCACATGGGTATGATGTGAAACAGAAATAAGAATCTGTCTAAAACCAGCTCCTTGTGATCTGTGGAAATCATGTTTTCCAGTCAATACTAGAAATTTACAAACCTCAACTGAAAGCAGAAAGCCCTTCATGTCGGGTAGGATTCTCCGGGTGGAGACAAGCTGCTCGTCCTTCCTAGACATCCCTGTATCTCGCCAGTCGCTTGACCACTTCTCCAACCCCCACCCAATACACTTTAGGGTATTTTTTTTTTACAGTGATGTTAGTTTTTTTGATAATCTAACTGAAATGCAATGAAACTTAATATTTGATGATATTTACTCTCTGGCTAGATACCTAATAAAAACACTGTAAGTCTGAATATGATTACCTACTTTGTAGGAGGCAAATTTGATTTACAGCGGAAGACTTTTACATTCCTAAAATGTAGGGGTTCTTCAAGGTTCTGCCTGTGGTCCTCCTCTCTTTACACCCTCACCCTAGGAAGCCTCATTTACTCCTTGCTGCAATTCCCATATGTGTGACTCCTCAATCTTGGCCTTTCTTAAAAGTTATAAATCTCCAATTAGCAAATAAAAAGTATTTATTCTGTAGAGATTTCCAATTGAACAGTCTTTTATCTCCTTCCTAAGTTTGTCTGCTTCACAGTACCCTTGCTCTAACACACTGATTCTGTCATCCTTGCCATCCCCAAAACCAGAAACCAAACTCACTTCCTCCTTCGCCACTGCTATACCATCAGTGACCAGACTTCATAGGCCATGCCCCATCAGCTTCTCTCCCACGGCCCCGTCTCCTCTTACTCAGCATCAGTCTCCACCGCTCCCTGCACAGTCTGTCTCAGCCAGTCCCACCCTGCACAGTCGGCCCACACTTTTCCAGTGGCCTCCTACATCTCTCTACTGGACTCACAAACTCTGTGAATTACCTTATGAAAAAGAGCTTCTGAGACCTTCCCACCCAACACCTCCCCATGGAGAGGAGACTGAGAAGCAAACTGTCCGCCTGGCACAAGGACGCTGCTCAGTGTGGAATGTCCACCTGGAGTCTCCTCTCAGCCAACTTCTCTGCAACCCTCCAGATGCGTTTTGCCAATCCACTTTCTTTCCTGAAAATTAAATTTCTTGCCCTTTGACAAAGCAACACCTTTGACGGTGTCATCGCCTCTACAGGGATCCTTTCCTCCACCACCAACCCTTTGGTCTGGCAAAATCCTGCAGACTTTTCTTTCTTTTTCTTTTTTTCCTGCAGAATTTTTAAGGGCTGTCACTCAGCTTGTTGGGAGGAACTTTGCATAGACACCCCAGGGTTTTAAACATTTGAACAAGGTTTGTGTCTGCCTGTCTCAACGTTTTTGTTCTGCTTTCCATTTTGTTTGATGGCTGCATCTCCCTGGGCCCTCTGAAGTGGATTAACCCATCTAGCCTGTCCACAAAACCCTGAGGCAACCCCCAGGCTCCTTAGCCTTTCCCCATAGCCTACCTGACTGAAGCTGATGCGCCCTCTCCCTCATTCTGACACATACCCCAGCTCCGCCTTGGTCAGAGCACATCAGATTCTCTCCCTACCGTTTGAACCCTGGCTTTTCTGCATTCGATGAAAAATTGTTTACTGGGTAATTCCTCTATGCCTCTGTGTGCTGGAGATCCCAAAACATGAATAAAAGATGTAAGACTTGCCTTTTTACTAAAAACTAAAGAAAACAGCTCTCCTTTTCTTTGGAGCACAGGAGCCCTCAGAGTCGGTGTCTGGGGTTACTGTCCATTCTCGGTCCATTCCAACACTCAACCTTTCGGATCAATCCCCGTCATCCCACTGTCTTTCCCATTCCCATCACCCTCCCTTCTGCCACTCCATCCCAACCCCCTGCCTTGGACTCTTCACTAAACAGGGCTTCCAAGTCCCAGGAACCTCACTGGAATCAGCTGACCAGCAATGAGGAAGGTTTAGGGACATTAGAACTCAGAGGTGTCCCTTGATGTATGTGAAGCCTACACTGTCCTTTAGACAAAGGAATAAGACTGTGTGATCTTCTGGCCTTTGTCAATATCATGGGCATCAGCCATAAGCACACACCAACCCAAACTCCCAGGAGCACTTGGTCGGTGCTAACTACAGTGATACCATCTTTGGTTTAATCCTAAGAAGAATATTTTCATGAACCTGAATGGAGAATTCCCAAAGAGTGCATGGTTCAGCACTTTCGCCTGAGGCCAGATAAGTTGTCTGAGGTCCTGACTGACCTTCCCAGACAATTGGGAATGCTAGCCTGACCAACTCTCTGGTCAGTACCATGAAGGACTACATTAGGTTCTTCCCCATATTCTGGCCATGATGGTAGCTTCATGAGAGTGTGTGTAGCCTTCAAAGTGTGCATGTCCAGTCCTCATGTGTGTGTCTTTTGGGCACAAGATCTGGACTGGTCATTTAGACTACCGGGCTTCCCAGCTCGACTAGGGGCTTCAGATAGACATAGACATGGATGGGGAGGTAGAGCATGGTTAAAGGGAAAAGAAAAGGGTTGGAAAAAGAGAAAGGGAAAGAGCATATGCTGGAGTGACTGCCAGGCACAGCGAGGTTGGCGAGGCTGGCCACCACTCCCAGGACTCCCTTGTGCTGAACCCCTTTCTTTTCTTTTCTTTTCTTTTCTTTTATTTTCTTTTCTTCTTTCTTTCTTTCTTTCTTTCTTTCTTTCTTTCTTTCTTTCTTTCTTTCTTTCTTTCTTCCTTTCTTTTTCTTTCTTTTGTGGGAGGGAGGGGTGCCAGGGATTGAACCCATGATGCTTAGCTATTGAGCCCCATCCCCAGCCTTTTTTATTTTTTATTTTGAGACAGAGTTAAACAAAAGTTTCTTAGGGCCTTGCTAAGTTGCAGAGGCTGCCATCTTCCTGCCTCAGCCTCCTGAGCTGCTGGGATTGCAGGCATGTGCCACTGTGCCCAGCATGAAGCCCTTTCTTAGTAGGTGTTTTCCGAGAAATCTCCTTCTTGACCTTGCATTGCCTCCCTGTGATAACTCCAATACTCATGAGGTAAATCTATCAAAACCCCAGCATACTGGTATAACCTCTTTGGAAAGCTCTTTGGAAGTGTTTGCTAAAGCTAAACATCAACTTACCCTATGATCCAGCAATTTCATTCCATAGAAACAAAAACTAATGTCTTCCAAAGCTCATATACAAGGTAAAATACTATATATTTATTCAAAATAGCCTCCAAATTAGAAATAAGCCAAATGCCCATCAATAAGAAAATGAATAAATAAATAAATTAGGATGTGGAACACCACATAGAAATGGAATATTACATTAAAATAAGAAAACAAATCATATTCACAAACACTAATGAATTTCACAGGCAATACTGGTATGAAAAAAAGACCTAAAAATCATACCATATGATGAATTTCATATGAAGTTCAAGAACAGACTAAACTAATTGTCAATCATACAGATCAAAATAATGGCTCTATCTGGGAGGAATTATTATATTTTCCAAACTTTTTTACACAAAAGGAAACAAAATCTTCCTTGAAAGAGCTTATGTTCATTGGATGTAATTAGCCTGATTGCTTTCCACTAAACTACAGTGTCTCCAGACTTTAAGAAGTATTCACACTAATGTGTGTAAAGGAAGAAAAAGAATATTCCCTTAATTGGATTCAATTAAACAGCATATATGTACATTTATAAACATGGAAAAATCAACTTTTATTCAAATGTCTTTAAATATCTGAGAGGGATTATTGATGGGAAAGGGGCATGAAGGAAATTTTCAGAATGCTGGAAATAACTTACATCTTGTCTGGGGAGGGGGTTACGTGGACATGAGCAAATGTAAAACTTCAACAAGCCATCGGGAGTGGTGGCAGAAGCCTGTAATCCCAGTGGCTGGGGAGGCTGAGACAAGAGGATTGTGAGTTCAAAGCCAGCCTCAGCAAAGGCGAGGCGCTAAGCAACTCAGTGAGACCCTGTCTCTAATAAAATACAAAATAGGGCTGGGGATGTGGCTCAATGTTGAGTGCCCCTGAGCTCAATCCCCAGTATGAAATAAAAATAAAAAGTAAATAAAAATTCAACAAGCCATACCTGGGAGATCAGTGTTCCTTGAGCACTTTATGGTCTATTTTATTACTCAACGTCCTCCTCCCTCAGGAAACACTCCGCACAGTACACCCCTGCAGACTCTCTCAGCTGAACCTATACACACTTGCCTCAAAAGCACATACTTCTGGGGCCGAGGAGGTAGCTCTGTGGTGGAGTGCTTGCCTTGCATGCACAAGGCCCTGGTTGTGATCCTCAGCACCACAGAAACGAAGAAAAAACATACTCGTACATGTTTCTGTTAGCCTACCCTGCACCAGGCCATATAAATACTTATTGAATGTTTGTAAAATAAACTCATTTCAATATGCAATAAATCCATTTTTCCTTTCTTGTGTTTTACATCTTGATTTTAAGACAGGCTATATGATTTTTTTTGTATTAATTAATTTCCTCGTAGTTTTCTAGGATTTTAGATGGCAGAGATATTTCACAAACTGAAGCTGTTGATTAAGTCTTCTTTTACTGTCAACCTCAACAGGTTGGATCTTGTGCATTTTCCAGCCCAAGTAACTCTCACCACTAGGTGGCAACACCTAGCTGAAGAAAGGCCAGCGGACCGACAAGACCAACTCCGAAAGGTGCGCTGGCCTTTCTCTTCCATTTCCTTCTCATTGCATTGATTAAGGGGGAAAGCTCCTCATAAACCTATACTTCTCTAATATCTGCATCCAATAATACCTCATAAGTAATAGGTAGGACCAAAGATCTAATCTAAGACTTCTGTTTTCAGTGAACTCTAATGACCCAAATTTCTTCCCCTCCCTCCCTCCCTCCCTCCCTCCCCCTTCCTTCCTTCCTTCCTTCCTTCCTTCCTTCCTTCCTTCCTTCCTTCCTTCCTTCCTTCCTTCCTTCCTTCCTTCCT